ACAATAAATGTGCCGCGGTCCAGAGGGTTCACCATCCCCTCCCCCTCCCCTCTCCGCCGTTTCCCCCCATGCAGTCGGCCGGGCAGGCCGTCCACCGCTCCCCAAAGTTCCGAGGCCCCCGTCGACGCCCGCGAGTCCTTCCATCGGGCAGACCGTTCCTTTTCCTGGTGCTCTTGGAGTAGACGTTCTCGCAGGGCACACCCGACGGAAGGGCTCGACGCAATTGCAACGGGTTCGACTTGCACCCTTATTGCACCACCCCCCCTTTTTCTTACCCGGGTCGAAATACACGTCATCCGGGCCTGAAGTGGCGTCGTGAAGCCCTAAGCTAATCTGGAAAATCAGTCAGAGAACCGTGCGACGCTAATAATTAGGCTGCAGCTTCTAGCGCAAACTAAAAATCTCCCGTAAAAACAAGACAACATAAAAATGTATGTGTTTACAAAATCTCTCTTTTTTTCCGTCGGTCTCTCTCTCAAGCAAAACGCGTATCTACTGGTTTGAGAATAAGTTTAATCATTTAAATTGTTAGAATACAATGTAATCTTACAATAAACACTGCCAAAACAAATGTCAATATTTTATACACATGTTTTAAGAGCGCGCTACAAACCACGGCCCGGCATCTAAAACAAATGCCTTCGAAAGTGAGCCATCATTTCGCTTGGGTCCGCTAATGTCTTGCCTCACTCCGTGCCCACGTTAGGCTTTTCTCCCGTGTGAGTTCGAACAATGTCTCCGCAGAGCGCTGGGTCTCAAACACTTCACGTCGCACTCCGTGCACTCGTACTAGTACTTCCTCTCTACGGCATGGATCTGGAGATGTGAGCGCAACCCTGTACTTGTCTTGAACCCCCTGCGGCACTCGGTGCACTCGAAGGGCTTTTCTCCAGTGTGGGTGCGGAGGTGAACAGCTAGAGCGCCAGTATCTATGAACTTCTTGTCGCACTCGGTGCACCCGTAAGGCTTCTCTCCCCCAGGTAGCAAAACGAAGAAAACTGCATTCAAACCGCATTATATATGTCCGCATTTTGAGCGCATGTAAGTGCATATTAGGCGCCTACACGCGTTTTAGGCGCTTTTTAGATTGAACACAAAATGCACATTTTATGCAGCTCTGCTACCTGGGCCGGTGTGGGTCCGGCTGTGGTCGATCAGATGACCACTTTGCGAAAATTTCTTATCACACAAAGTGCAGGCAAAAGGCTCCTCCTCTGTGTGGATCCTGAGATGCACTTCCCGTTTGCTATTCGTTGCAAATTTCTTGTTGCACACATTGCACTCGAAAGGCTTTTCTTCCGTGTGGGTTCTCATGTGGATGGCGATATTCGCAGCTTTCTTGCCGCAAACATCACGTTGTGTCAGCATGGCGATAGTATCCGTCAGAAATACCTGTAGAGGAAAATAGAGTAATTTAGATTTTATGTTTACTATGTCGACATTTCTTAGCTCAGCGTGCAGGAATGAAGAAGAGAGATCTGAAACGACCACACATGCACTGTGTGAACCTACGAGTAACCCCAGTTTCAATGTTACACTATGCCGATTCAATGTACCAGGTAGTTGATTCACGCCGCACACTTTTCTAGTTATACTGTACCGCATTTACGCGTGCGGGCGGGTTTGCCTATGCTCGCTGCGCACGGCTCCTTATGCTCGTGCGAGTAGGCCCGCCTGCACGCGTGCATGTGGTACAGTATAACTACAACAGTGCGCGGTGTGAATCAGCCACCTGGTACAAAGTCCGCTGTCCGCTGGCGTGTGTTCTGCAATCGCGGTACTGCAAATTATCTTGCGCAACAATTTATGAACGAATAAAAATGAGTAAAGTTAAATTAAACCCCTCCGCCTCTAAATTGTACTAGAAAAAGTTCTCAAATTAATCCCCTTTCAATGCTTTGATCATGTGTAGATATTTGCTGCAGTTCGACTCCTCGTTATGGCAGAATATAAATTAGATAAAGAAGTGGAGTGGAGGATAGATCGACAGCGCTGTTATTTTTAAACCACGTAAAACAGTACTTTTGTTTCTCGTAAAAACTGGATATTTTGCAGTAACCCCCCTTCCTAGACCAACTTCAGAAGTGCGTGGTGCCTATGAGCCAGCAGCTGGTAGGTGGGGGAAGGGGGTGAGCTACCTTACCGCAAGGATCGTACCTGAGGACGGTTACTGTGGTGTCGCGGTCAATCTACGGCCAGGTCACGCAGCCGCCCAGCTTTGAATTCCATATGGATTTCTAGTATGGAAAATGCCTGTCTGGATTTTGTTGAATTTCCATATGGATTATATTCCAGATGTAATTTGGAACACTTTCCAGAGTGGACTTTTGTACTATGGATATTCCTGCTGTGGAAAATTTTCCATATGTAACATAAATCCATATGGATAGTGAAATCCATCTGGATTGTGAAACCAGCATGGAGAAGCATCAATCACCAAGCTGCTTGTTAACGTGAAAGGACACAGAGCCCATGTAAACTCTCGCTAAAACCGCCAAATATGTGGTCAGATTTTCGATTCGACAACTTGTTACGAAGATACAGCCAAGTTGAGAATCGTGATTTTTACTTTTCAATCAAAGAGTGAACATTTCGACGTATTATTCGCAGTGCTTCAGTCAGAATTCCTGTGTTCCACTTAGTTAAAAAGTTATGATTTAATTTGCAAATCCATAGTGGAAAAAATGCAGCCGACCATAATGGAAAATATTCCATAGTGGAAAATCAGTAATCCATAGTGGAAAATCACAAATCCACAGTGGAAAATATTCCATATCAAGTTCCATAGTGGAATTTTCCAAATCCATATCGGAAAATTATTCCATACCAAATTCCATTGTGGAAACGAGATTCCATATGGAAAAACGAGATCCATCTGGAAATTAACAGGAATTCCATATGGAATTTAAAGCTGGGCGCCCGTAACTCTAACACGCCCCGCTCGCGCCGTGTTGCTCAGCCACGGTGGAGGGAGATATCTCTCCACCGTGCTCCACCGTGACCGTGGTTGTGTCGGAGTCGGAGATCCCCCGGGCCGGGCCGGGACCCTCGCCCGGAGGGCTGGGGATGCCCCCGGGGTGGCCGACGGAGCGAGGTGGGTTGCCAAAGGGGCGCGCCAAGACGACGTTCACCCGCCAAAAAAGAAAACAAATTCAAAGCAGCGCGAGGGGGATGGGTTTTTCGCAGTGTAGGTTGACAACTGACTCGCTCCCTGCTCACTCTAATGCAGAAGACGCGCCTGTTAGTTGAAGTAGAAGTTTAATCATTCAAAAATGCTAAATACAGTTTAATCGTACAATAAACACTGCTAAAAATAAATATAGACACATTTTAGAGCGCGCCACGAACCACAGCCCGACAACTATAACGAATGCCTCCGAAGGTGGTCCATCATGTTAGTACTCGGGTCCGCGAATGTCTTGCCGCACTCGGTGCACTTGTACGGCTTCTCCCCAGTGTGGGTCCGGAGGTGCCGACTCAGCGAACAACTCTGTGCAAACTTCTTGCGGCACACGGCGCACTCGAAAGGCTTCTCTCCCGTGTGAGTTCGGAGATGTGCCCGCAAATTGCTGGCGTTCACACACTTCACTTCGCACTCCGTGCACTCGTACTCCTTCTCTCCGGTATGGGTCTGGAGATGCATGTAGAGATGCGGCTGTTGCCTGAATCTCTTGCTGCACACGCTGCACTCGAAGGGCTTCTCTCCGGTGTGGGTGCGGAGGTGCACAGCTAGAGCGCCAGGCTCCGGAAACTTTTTGTCGCACTCGGTGCACTCGTAAGGCCTCTCTCCCGTGTGCGTTCGCCGATGTGTGCGCAAATGACTGCTTTGCGAAAACTTCTTGTTGCACACGACGCACTCGAACGGCTTCTCGCCCGTGTGGGTTCGGAGATGAGTTTTAAGTTTTCCACTTTCCCTAAATTTCTTGTTGCACACACCGCACTCGAAGGGCTTTTCTCCCGTGTGTGTGCGGATGTGTGCACGAAGATTCGAACTGGTCTGACACTTCTTGTTGCATACAGAGCACTCATATTTATAATGCTGTTCTCCCGTGTGCACACGAAGGTGAGCACGCAAACCACTAGAATGCGCAAACTTCTTGTCGCAGAACGTACACTTTAAAGGCTTCTCTTCCGTGTGCGACTTGAGATGAATTAGAAGAGTGACATCATGTGCAAATTTCTTACCGCAGACCGTGCATTCGAAGGGCCTCTCTCCAGTGTGAGTTCGATAATGCACTTGGAGATGGTCACTTCGTGAAAATTTCCTTTCGCACAAGGTACACGCATGTGGCTTCTCTCCGATGTGCGTTCGGCTATGCGTCAGCAGACTTGCACTGTGCGCAAATGCTTTACTGCACTCTTTACAGTGATAGGGCTTCTCTCCTGTGTGGGTGCGGCTATGTGAACGCAAAGCTGACCAGCACGAAAATGTCTTGTTGCACTCGGCACACTCGAAGGACTTCTCTCCTGTGTGGGTCCGCAGATGAAGTCGCAATCTTTTACTTGTTCCAAATTTCTTATTGCACAGACTGCATTCAAAAGGCTTCTCGCCTGTATGGCAGCGAACATGACTTTTTAATTGTTTAGATTGTGCAAATTTCTTTTCGCAAACTTTGCACTGGTGTGGCTTTTCTCCCGTGTGCACCCGCAGATGCGAATGCAGGGCACTACTCGTTGCGAACTTCTTTTCGCACAAGTTACACTCAAAAGGCCTCTCGCCCGTGTGCGTTCTGAGATGTATTCGAAGTGAATAGTTCACCGCAAACGTTTTGTCGCACTCGTTGCACTCGAACGGCTTCTCTCCCGTGTGGATCCGGACGTGTTTTTGCAGATCTCCGCTTTGCGTGAACTTCGCATCGCACACTGAGCACTCGAAGGGCTTTTCTCCTGTGTGGATACGCAGGTGAGTCTGAACGTTTCCCCTCCGCGCAAATTTCTTGCCGCACACTGGGCACTCGAAGGGCTTCTCTCCCGTGTGTGTTCGGAGGTGACGGCGCAGGTTGCCGCCGTCCGGGAACGCCTTGCCGCACACTTCACACTCGAAGGCCTCGTCTTCCGCGCGCTCCATCGTGGCGGCTGCGTGTCGTCCTTGTGTCCTCGTTGGCCCCTGGTGAAAAGAAGCAAGAAATGACTAAATCTGCAACGCTGAACTCTCCCATATCGGCCACTGTCCGGCTGCAGATGGCGGCATTCGTAGTACGTACCCTGGTACTCCTCCGGGGGACGAGCTCGCCCTCGTTGACCCGCCAGACGGCTTCGCACCTCGCCACACAAAGACGAGCAGCTGACCTGACTGGACTGACGCCTGACCACCGTGCGCCTGACTCTGACTCTGACAGACTGACCCATGTCCCGTGTCGCAGAGCCAGAGCGGCAGCAGCCCCCGTTGCCGGTTGCCGACCGATGAGGCGCAAGTGCAGTTGGTGATTCCCCCCCCCCCCTCCGCTTCCGCTGTGCCCGCCCCTCCCCCTCCTCGCCGCTCGTACGCCACGCGCTAGTGCTAGTCGCTCGCTATCCCGCTATCGCTAGTCGGAAGAGAGTAGTCAAGCGCCATCCACGCAGTCGCACGGACGGAGTGTGATTTCGATCCAGACGACTCCTGCCTTTTTACAATTTTGCTGTTACTTATAGGAACTTCCGGTGGAAACCCTTTGGCCCACGTATAGTCCTAACGAAGGGGCGAACTACCGCGCAAACCCGAACAGCATGCAAGCATTTCACCCACAGTTTTGTCGGTCTGCCCAGTCGCGCATATTTTTGACTAGGTACGCTTGAGAGGATGGGGTACGGGTTAGTCCTGGTGCAGGAAGTAATCTAGACCTCAAAACGTCCCGTTTGAGCTTTGAAATTCGTAAATCGGTCGCCCCACTGCTGAGAAGCGAGGCAAAACAGGTGCCGAAGCCCGCACGGCTTTTTTCCGACATGAGTAGAAAAGCCCCGTGCGCACCGGCTTAACGCTATCGCACGACGCTCAAATATTGCCAGCGGTCTTCCATGAACATAATCTATCAAAAAATGCACCGTTCGGTAAAAAATATTTTTTTGGTGCGGGCTAACCACGAGAGAAAGGCGCCCTTCTCTCGTGGTCACACCTGTCGCTCAGAACATCGGTCCCGAGCAGTAGCCGTCACTCTAGTGATCGAACCGGTTCGAAGTGGACTGTATAAAGGTGCCCATTCCTATCCAGCACTTCCGCAGCGAGCAGAGGTAGCGGCCGCTGTCTGGCCACCCGCGCAGCCCAAGCTCCTAGTTGAGCTCATGCGCAGCACCTTGCGCAGCACCAGCGTCTCCAGCGAGTGGCCGCGCGCTCGTAGCAGCATTGAGCCGCGGGGGCTGGGCGGGGGTCGAGCCCCCCCCCCTTCCCCCAAGCTTTTGACCCAGGGGCCTGGTCTCCCCAGAATTTTCCAATGATACGAGCAAAGAAATTGGTTGAAGGACGACTTACCGCCCCCGGCAAGCCGATTGAAAGCCCGACGACCAGAAACATGTATAAAAAAGCCTAATTTCTATTACAATTTTTAATCACTAACAATAAAAGTCCATTCATTTAGTTAACATTTTAGTGTCACATTGATTGCATAATCTAAATGCCCCGGTTGGTAGGCAACCTACAGCACTGCCCCCCCCCCCTTTTATGCTTTCTGGACTTTCCTAAGCGCCTGCAGCAGGGACTGTGTCGTGGCGCCGCCGGATACAGTGCGCGCTCCCGACTCACCCTGGCCGACGGAGAAGCTCGTTCGCCGACATAAGACAACCTACCGTAAAACACGCACGCATCCGCATTCACGAATAAAGAGCTCCAACTCCACAGTCACCTCTGCCTCCCCCACTCGTCCCGCGAGATATGCGCACCCCGCCGTGCTCAGCCGCCAGTGTGGGGGTGGCCTACAACGCCGCCACTCTCGCCAGGAACCTTTATGTTCTACCCGCTATTCTTCTTGCGCATAAAATGCGGAACGAATGTGTGACCTTTGATTCGCAGTTTAATGCGAATTACCAAATGCGGCGCTACCGGGGTTGTGCTTCATATTTTCTTACACGACCTGCCAGTTGACCCTGATGACCTGCCCGACAACATCTTAGGGCAATTCCAGACAGGGGTGTCCGTACGTCACGCGATTGGTGAACGAATGAGAGGTGCTACGGATTTGTCTCGGGATTTGTACAAACATGACTAAACGCGTCTTGAGATTGTGAGTCTGGGCCTGTATTGCACATCATCGTAGCGCCTCTCAGTCGCAGCTGTGTCAACTGGAGGAGGCCCTGGAGCAGCACGTGCGGCGGGGTGCGGCGGGCGATGAGCTTACCCTACTGGTGGAGCTGTGGAGCAGCTGCAGCTGGCCATGCAGCTCGCGCAGCAGCTCCCCGCCGCCCGTGCCTCAGCGCCTGCATGGTAGGCCGCCCCGTTAAGCGCGGGTGCCTTGCGGCCCAGTATCTGCTCGTCCGCAGGGGCTCCGGCTTGGGCTCTAGCCCAGCCACCAGTCCCTCTTGGTCAGCAAAAACATCGAAACAGAAATACCACAGACAGTAAATGTCTAGTTATAAAACCACCATACAGCCTCATATTGCATTAATATATTAGTTATCTTCAAAGTCGTTTGTACTTATTGCACTGCAAAATGCTTGCCAAGAAAAGATTCGTATTACAAACGATTTTCTTTTTCAGCTTTCTAAGAATTTGGAAGCGTTGTAATACAAACTAGTTCATGGCAATCTTTCAAACTATTTCTTTGAAATGCAAACACATTGTTTGCAAGGATTCTGACAGCTTGCAAAGAATTTCTTTGCAATACACACTGATCATTTGCATTACAAATCTCGCAAATTCTTTGCAATGTTACAAAGAATATAGTTTGCAACCATATTACAGAGTGCTACTTTCAAAAGAACTCCGCACACAATCCATTTTGTAAGCCTTAAGACCAAGCAACTGTGTTTCTTTCAAAATAGTAAATTAGAAATGAAACTTGTGGAAAACATGCAACACATTACTCTTAACAAGCAAAACAACACCAAGACCTTATTTAATTTGAGCCTCTACTTTAATCGGTGATGCTCATGTTTTGCTATTAAATGCCTGGTAACCTCATGCTTTCATGTGTTTGTTATATCGGTATTATAATTGTATTCTGTATTTTCCTTGTATTTTTTATGTAATCTGCAATCTTCTTTGCTTAGCGTGTAAGATTGTGTCTGCTGTGTATCAATTTAGTCTCTTATCTGCATTTCTTGTAAAATTGTCACTATCGTCTTGTTTAAAAGGAAATGAACCATTAAACCATTTCAATTAAGGTAATTTATTGGATTTTTTCAAACAACTAGTGACATCCTAGTTTTAATTTATAACGTGGTGACTCAAACAATTTTAACTCCCTTCTCACATAGCTTGCGAGCCTCTCACTATTCTCTTCATTGTACATTAAATTATAAAGGGCAAGGAGCAGCAATGCACACAATTCTGATCAACAGAGTTCGACGAAATCCAACATTTTTATTTTCCATCTCACTTCATCATCTAGTTTAGATGAGAATGAGGGATACGAATGCCGGCAACCGCCCGTTGAACCACACTCACCTCACCACTTAGAGTCACCGGGACGCGCCTGGACCTTTCTGCCGCTGTCCCTCTGGCAGTGGAACAAGCCCCGTGCACCAGCGGTCTGCTGACCCTGCTGCTCAAGTTCTCTCGGCCACAGGGGTGCGGGATGCGCTTGCTGATCGCCGCGTCTAGGCGTCTTCATCTTCCACTCCGTCACACGAGCTGCACAGCACCTCGGTCCTGGGCAGCACCCGCCGCAGCCGGTCGCGCTGCTCGTTGCATGGGGTTTTGCGGTGAGTTTTCTTCCCGCGCCGCAGCACGATCCTCCACAGCGCCCGCAGGCCGCACTGCTTCAGCAGAGAGTGCAGGTCGCAGCAGCTCCAGGGCCAGTCCTTGTCCCCCGGCGTGCCCACCGTCAGGGTCAGTTCCTCCAGCGAGTGGGCGTGGGCCCGCAGCAGGGACTGGGTCGTGGCGCGGGGCAGGCCCCGGACACTAAGCCACTGCAGGCCGGCGTGTCCCGGCGGGAGCGCGGGCAGCACGGGGGGCTGCACGTCCAGGGCCCTATCACCACACCACACGTACAGCCTCCTCAGCCGCGGCAGGGAGTGCGCGGCGCGCAGGTGGGCCCCGCGGGGGGAGTACAGACTCAGCACCTCCACAGTGGGCGCGACGAGCTGCAGCAGCTGGAGGTCGATGTTGAAGGCCACAGCGACCAGCCGCGCCTGTAACAGAACAGAGTCACTCTCAGGGTGGGCGGACACGAGCCGGCCGGGCGCCTCTCCCGTCCGCAGTCATGATAACGGGTTAACGGTTCACAGGCGCAACCGGGCGCAACTGTCCAATGCACGCAGGAACCGACCTTCACTCTAGAGGTCTCCAAAATCGCAGAAAGTGACCGACCGACACTGACTGTGCTCAGTCAGCGCTGGCCGCGTGCAACGTGAGATGTGGAGAGGGGTGCCCCCTCTGCTGTCCCCTTCCCTCGCCTCTCACCTCATCTCTCTCAATGTCGGTCGGTCACTTTCGGCGAGCTTTGCCACTCACCCCTCGCGCGTCCGGCACGTCGGCGGCTCTCTCCTCCTGTTGCAGGGCGTCGGGTCCTTTCCTGCTGATAAGCGGCACATCCTGTTGCCTCGGGGGCTGCGACTCGGTAGGTGCGGCGCGTCCCGCAGCTGCAGGTGGTAGAGGCCCGGCTGCAAGTGGTAGAGGCGTGGCTGCAGGTGGTAGAGGCGCAGCTGCAAGTGGTAGAGGCGCGGCTGCAGGTGGTACGGGCGCAGCTGCAGGTGGTAGGGGCGCGACTGCAGATGATAGAGGCGCAGCTGCAAGTGGAGTGTCCTCAGCTCGGTCCTGTACAGCCACTGAATGATTAGAAGGAGGTCCACGGGTCTCTGAACATTTGTAGTGTACCCCGACAACGTGTCATACTACCTCAGTGAGGGCTGCCCTCGACGCCAGCAGGAGACACAGGGCCTTGGTGAGGGGCTCCTCCGCGTTGCGCAGGGTGCCCGTCAGCTGGCGGCCCCCGCCCCGCAGCGTCACGTCCCAGGACTGGCCACCGGTCAGCAGGGTGAGGGCGGGCAGGGCCTCCTCGTCCGGGAACTGGTCCTGAAGGCCCTGGAGCTGCTCGGCGGCCTGCGGCATCGCGCCCTGCAGGTGGCGCCTCAAGGCTCTCCTGACGGGCAGGACGTCGTGCTCCTCCCAGCAGCGGGGCGTGGCGGCGGCGCGGCAGTCCGAGCACCAGGCGCGGGGAGTACTGTGGGGCACAAGTCAAAGCATGAGGCTCTCGGACACTCCAACTCCGTGACCGGATGCACGCGTGGGAGCTCACCTGTGCAGTCTGGCTCCCTGCAGCAACTGCAGCAAGAAGAAGTTTGAAGGGAGTTCCTCCGTGGGCCCGTGGAAGTCCTGAGATGGGCAAGGTCAGAACTTGGTCAGAATGAGTGGAGGGCAGGGATGCGTGGGCTGCGCATGACACAGGACGCCGACGAAGGTCCTCACCCGTCGGCACGTCGGGCAGCCCCTGTCGGGCAGCCGCCGCAGGCACTGCAAGCAGGCCGTGTGCCCGCACGGCAGCACCTTGGGCAGCCGCTCGGCGCCGTCGAAGAGCTCGGCGCAAAGGTTGCACTCCATGGCCAGGCTGATGAGCTGAGCCTAGCGCCTAGCGCTGATGTAGTAGTGGTGCCTGGTGGGAGCCCGTAACTGCAGAGCTGACCCTTTACCGATATCGCTTTATCACCAACAATCACACAAGCTCCTGGCAATACAAAGGACACCGCACCTCACCATTGCAGAAGCGCCAATGCATTAAAGCGCTTCAGTGCGCATAGAAATGCACATACATAAAAGGTGAACGCATAGGCTAGGTAGCGCATTAAATGCACGTAATGCGCACTAAATGTTGTGATGCGCTTGGAAAGCGTCACCATTGAATCAACTTTTATGTGCATTTTTAAGCGCATTGAAGCGCATTAATGAGTGATTTTAACGGTTAGAAGAACAAGAAGAAGTTCCAAGATGGCCGCCACGGACCACAACAAACATTCAACTGCGCGACAGATCATGCAGATGGCCAGAGATGCCAGTCTACTCACTCGTTTGTCGGGCGAGGGCGATGGCTGACCTGCTGGACGTCTTAACCTCAACGTGCTGCTTGCTCAGGCTGACTCGCTCAGCTCACAACACAACAGCGTCGCGAAATCTAACACCGCCAAAACCGCTCCTGGCGTCGCCGTCACTGTGTTGGCTTCACACTTCACACTCAGCGTTAAGAAGTCAGTTGAATATTGAATATAGTTGAATCTGCTAGAGATTATACATGGACAGCGCTGCGATGCTGCCGATGCGATAATCGCGAGGCGAGAATGAGCAATGCGGAGGGCGGGGGTGTGAAGGTAGGCTCGACTAGTGAGCAGCCTCTGTGTTTTACCCGCTATTCTTCTTTCTCCGTTGGCTTGTATACTGATTGAACAACACCTTCAGCTCCTCACAATCACATATAAATGCAGTTTAATTTCGCTAAACATAGATTCGTTTCAAAGAAAGAATAGAATGTTGGCAAGACTGATTTATCCTTAGGTTGGCACTCAGGCAGCCGAAGCCGAAATTTCGAAAAGAGTGCGACGATAAGCTAATTTCCTAATTGGAATTCAATTATTTAAGTTAACTCAGCAGACCTTTTTTTCTCACCGGTAGGTGCTTAAAGCTGGAGCTGTCACGTTTTCCTTTGCGGGGAAATCCATTCCTGCCCATTTCTATTGGTCTCCGCGTTATAACTTGGAATTTAGGTTACTCGTCGCTTTGTTAACCTCCCACAGGAAGGTCAACCAGCTGCCACCTCGTATAAAGAGAAACCTGCACTGATGCTGACTAGGTCACGGAAAAAGGCGACGATGTCGGCGCTCCTACCGGCTCCGGCTCCCATGAAGGATTTACTCGACAAAATGGTAAGTCAAACTTTGCACTCCGTCTGAACTTAAGCCTACTCTACGTATTAACCGCGACCAACAATGCGTCTAGTAATGGTGTTGTGCACCCCTAGCCCTAGCCTCACATCACAGAAGTCCAAAATTCGATTATGCACGTTGTTCCATATTTAATGCACGCCGGAAAACTGTCCTCTTTTTGGTGGTCGTTTTCATATTACGTTTGTCCGCGGGCCTTCACGAATCCGTTCGGCCTCAATCCAAGTTATGGATACGAGATCTTTTCGATGTCGATTCCACGTCCACTTCTCGCTGAGACACCCACGGTTCTGCCCGCAGACGCTCCTCTCGCTGCGCGACCAGGATCTGCTGCAGGTCCTCTCCCACCTGCACGCCAAGGACCTGGGCGCCGCAGGGCGGGCGAGCCCCCGGTTGGCCGCGCTCACCAGATCGCACCCGTCGCTGTGGAAGGACTTGAAAGGAAGCGCAGAGTTTGACAACGTCGAGGGACTCCTGAGCCTCTTGCGAGTGGCGCCGCCAGTAGACCGATTGTATGTTTACTTGGCTCCTTACACACACGCCTCAGAAGTGAATTCCATTCGCTCTTCCAGGTAAAAGGATGCGGAATCTTGTCAACGAGAGTTTAAGTACTTGCTTCGTTGAAGCCCTCGTTATCTACCTATAACAGCGCCTTACGGGCCGAGTGAGTAGGCAACCCGCCCGCACGCGTGCAGGCGGTTCATCACAACTACAAGTGAGCGGGGTTAATCAGCCACCTGGTACAGAGCTTTTGTAGCTCAAGCCGCGTAGCTTTAAAGCGGATAGATTGAGCCGACAGATGCCCCCCCC